TGGAAAGAATGCACGACAAGCTAGGGTATACTGTTTTCGGCTGCCATGGGGCTATTTCGCCAGGATATGAGTTTTATCAATGGTGTCCCGCTTTACCAATGTTAAAATCTGGTCGCCTTACACTAGTAGTATGCATTACATGGCAAGGCCGTGGCTTATTGACTATGGTTTTCTAGGCACGGCCTTGGCCACTCCCACCAAACGACCCTCCCTTTCCTGATAGGGAAAGTACTGATTGTATTATAGGATTCCACTGTGGGTGATTGTGGGCAGGGTTAATTGTCATTCCACCCTGCTAGGTATGAAACGAGCCATCTCAGAAGCAGGAGGTAGGACTCACTACCAACACAAAAGAGGAGGTGGGGAGGCAGGGCGTCCTTTGGACCTCAAGGTCGCTGCACATGGAACCTGAACTTCCTTGACCCGGGAAGCAGCTCTGTCACCCAAGCTCTGTCTGCAGAGGAGCAGCAGCAGAGCCAGCAGACGGAGCGGAGCGGTGGGACTCCCAGCCCACAGAGCAGGGGAGGCCGAGTGCTTCTGGGCAGTGGACCGGGGAGCCTCCAGACACTGAATTGGAGGAGTTGGAGTTGAGTGTTCTGTGCCCTTTGGGCATGTACTGGCGGCCCTCAAAGGGCTTTGTAACATTGCCAGAGCAGGGTGGAGGCCAGACCAAGAGAGGCCTGCCTGCGGGCTCGGCAGAGAAGACACTGTCCTGGCCAAACGACTGTTCCTGAACATGTTTTCACCTTTCCTGTTGTCTGTGAACTTCCCAAACCAACTCTGTTGTCTATGAGAGGGTGGGTGGGGTAAGAATAGGGTAAAAGAGATGGAGGGTGGAGGCATGCCTGGCCTTGGGAGCCAGGGGAGGTCAGACGTGGCCCTCGCCCGTTTCCTTCAGACATAGGACGTGGTAGCACACAAGCACCTGGTGTTGTCATTCTCAGGTGTTCACTGATCGGATTGACAGGTACACACCGTAAGAGAGAGCTAGCGGGCTTGTGTCTGAACCGGGGACTGGGCGCCAGGTGGCGCAGTGGGCCCGCTGGCATGTACTGGGGGCTGCCGGTCTGACCTGCCCATAGGCGGCGGGGCTCACCTGATCTCCGCAGGGAACTGTGCATTGGTGACCAAGAAGCTGGAGATCTCACGCTGGTGCAGGAGCTCCAGGAACCTGTTGATCTCCGGGTACATGATCGGCTCGCCCACCAGGGACAGGGCACAGTGCCTGACCTCCAGCCCTTCCTCGAATCGGTCTGCTCGGACGCCAGGGACGCCTGGAGGGGCAGGGAGAGGAAACAGGCTCACCCAGAGGCAGACAAAGGACTGGCTGGGCCTGCTCTGAATGGCCCTGAGAGGTGAGAGGGCGGGTGCCTTGTGGACTCCAGCCAAGGAAGACAGATTCCCCCTGGAGAGCAGGCAAGGGCAGAGGGGCAGGTTCCCATTCCCTCTCAGACACCTGGCAGCCATCGCTGGAACCGCCTTTTGCCGCCTTCACTTTGGAAGGTGCCCCAGGGCCAAGCGAACGACGCAGAGCAAAACCCCAGCTGAGAGCCCACAAGGAACATTGGTGGGCCCGCTTCGTCCATACCGAGGATCAGATGGCACGCGCTGAAAACATGTAAAGGGCAAGCCAGTCGGCCTGGACCCCTGAGAAGGGGGGCATCCTCACAAGGACCGAGGGGCTCTTTACACCTCGATCCCAGCACAAACAGCCAAGGACGGACCCGTGAGCACCGAGGCCTTGTCCGGGAGACCAGCCGACAGTGCAGAGGAGAAGGCGGGGCAGCTGGCCGGGCTCATGGGGCAGAAACAGTCAGGATGGAGACGGTGTCACTGAGCAGTGTGTGGAGGGGTGGTCGCAAGGGCGCCCACGCGGCTGTGTGCTCTTCCCCCCAAAAATACAAAGACACTTTTCAAGCGAATCAATCACACTGTCACTTCCTAAACACCACATGCCTGGGGAAGGGAAAGTGAGCTTCCACGGCTCACGTGTGCCTTCAGGACCTGATTTTATATCACACACTCACACACACCCATGTCCCACGCTCACGCACACACCACACACGCGACTTGGAAATCAGCAAGTGCAAGCAAACACTTGTAGCACAGTCAACTATTCCATCTGACTCCTCCTGTTGCTCCGGCCCCACGCCTTCCGTGGTCCTCGTGGGCCTGGGTAAGAGGTGGGGGACTGTTCACCAAGTGCATCCAGAGTGCCACCCCGCTGGGTGTGAAGGGAGCCACTGCAGCAGAGAGGGGAGCCGGGGGCCGAGAGGGTCCTCCAGAGCCTGCGGTCTGGGCGGCCTCTCTGCCTGACCTCTGCTTCTCCGGACCCGAGTTGTGACCTGTCACCTGGCCTGGTCTTACCAGCTTCTGCAGCCTTGGAGATGAGGAGAACCCTCCGGATGGATGCCCGGATTGCTATCAGGTGAGGGCTTTCCCAGGTGAAGGAGGCACTGAGATCTCAACTCGTGTGAATCAAGGATTTAAATAAACTCGATCCTGAGCTCGCTGGGTTGCCAAGACAACTCGGCATTGAGCCTCAGATTTCCTTCTTACATCATTAACTGTCATCTCACGTGCCGGCTGACTCCCACCGGGACTCTGAAATCAGCCCGAAACTCAGGAACAGGAATGAAGGAGCAGGTGCCGGGCCCCAGGCACCTGGGCGTTCAGGTGCTGAGTTCAAGTCCTGTGTCCACCACTGAGAAGCTGTGTGTCCCAGGGCAACCTCTCACCTCATGCTCCCTTCTGTGGGGAGGTGGGTGGCAGCCAGGCAATTAAGGTCCTTCTACCTGCAGTTTGGCTTTTTTTTTTCCCTTCTTTCAGTTATAATACCTGGCTCATCTTGTGAAATGAAAACGAAATACAATGACTTGAACTACCTAAAGGAGAGAGTAATTCCATTATATTCAGTAAATCTTTATTGAACATCGATCACCTAATATCGACTATCCATCTGTGTGCCGAGGCTGAGCAGGCGCTCCTGCTTCGCCTTCGGGAAGGAGTCCTGGGGCAGCAGGGGCAGCTGGGGTCAGGGGACCTGTCGACTGCCACCACTGTTTTTCCTAGCCAATCCATGAGATCCCACTGGGATCCGTCCCTTCCTGCTTGCCTGGGCTTCATCCTTTTCACAAACTACTGAAGTTCTCTGAGACGGCTCTTGTCCTCCACAGCTGCTGCCCCTTGATAATCCCAACTTGAGTCAGCAGACGAACGAAGAGGCGTCAGAGGCCCCCGAGTTTCCGCTGGATCAACTGAAGAACACACAGGTGACCGACCGTGAGCCACTGCTGAGCACCGCGCGTTCTCTTTCTAAAGCTTGCGCGGACCAGAAATCAAACGTTCACCCGGCTTTCCGGGCCAAAGCTCTTCCCGAGATCAGAGGTGCGACAGGTGGTGGTGAGCCAGTTGTTCTGGTTCAGCCCTGGGGTGGGGGTTGTTTACATTTTCACCCCAGGGAGAGAGATCCTGAATCAGAATCTACATTTGTTACAGGATCCCTCGGTGATTCTATGTCCACCTGGGGATCCTGTTAAATCATAGGGCAGGGGTTCCCTAAGTGGGTGATACTGGTCCCACCCCCCGGAAGGGGGGCAGCGGCACACAGCACACTGGAATGACCCAGGGGGGGGTGATAAAGGCAGAGAACTACACTTTTTCCAGAGTTGTGAGCTACAGGACAAAACTCACTGCTGGGGGGCAACCTGAGGAGCCCTCGGACCATTGGGGGAGGGGGCGGTGGCAACACAACCATCTGAACAGGGGGGAGGCGGGACAAGTAAGTCTGAGCAACTAGGGTGCCGAGTTGATGTGGTGTCTGGTGTGAAAAAGCGGAGGGAGCCCATTTGCAGCCCTGCTCACAAGGTTCAGGGTAGCCGCACCCACTGGGAGCTTTCCCAGAAGGGAGCTTCAGAAACCTGGCAAGTGCTGTCCATACCTAACGCCGGCTGTGCCAGTTAGCCACAACACTGGTACGAGCAAACGCGCTTCTCTCCAGTCAGGAATGTGGACGTCTACATCCAGGGCCGTGGCTACACAGCGAGGGGACTGACTGCAGCCAGCCTGCTGGGTGAGAGACCCTGGTTGGCGACTCCTTCACGCCCAGCCTAAAGGATGGATTAAAAACAACCAACACCGGGCGGCCTTGACCTTGGCGTCCTCACCAGGGAGGGCGTCCCTGGCAGAGAACACGCTTAACGTACATTCCCTGAACTAAGGGGAGACCGACCTGAGGAGCCCTCGGGCCATGCCCCCCCACACCCCACCCCAGCAGTGGCAGTACCGCAGGGAGGGCCAGCAGCATTCTGTAGAGATGCTGAGTGGCACTGCAGTCCTGACCCCCTTTGACCCACTTTTAATCCACGGAAAGCTAATTATGCGTGTCTATAAAAGGAAGGAGGATGCATAAAGGTCACAAGGAGGAAGAAGGTTGAATGATTCTGTCAAGAGCCTGAAGAGAGAGTGATTGCTCTCGGAACTGAGGACGGCCGCACAAAAGGAAAGCATTTCTAAAGTCAGAGTCACTTCCGAATCGGTTCAGGGCTGGCCCGCTTAGCTAAGGCTGGGAACGCTTAGCTAAGGCTGGGAACGCGGCAGGCAACAGTGAGCAACAAGGACCTATCGCTAGTATCAGCCGGCTCGGTCAGCTGGCACTGCTTCTGCAGGGGTGACCACAAGTGGGTGACTGTCGAACAGAAACTTCTCCTCTCAGGAAGCCAGCAGCCCAAATGCAGGGCATCAGCCACCAAGCAGAGCTTTCAGCTGCTGACTCTGGGAGAAGTCCTTTGTTGTCTGTCTCCCCCTGAGTCTAGGAGTCCCTCTGCATAGGGACTCAGGCTCCTGGGGTCCAGTTCCACTTCCGGCTCATCTTCCTTGGGAGTCGGCGGTCCCTCTGATCTCTGCTCCTTCCCTTCTTCATCTCTCTTACATCTCAGAAGAGACTGGCTCATGATGCAACACCGTGCCCTGTGGGTTGTCTTGCCTCAGTAACACACCCACCTGCCTCTAATCCGGCCTCACTCACTCCACGGGAGGTGAGGATTTACTTCGGAAATTTCCCCGGATCACAAAACAGATGTGATGTCAATCCACGAACGACATCATCCCACAAGAAAATTAAGTCAGAGAAGGCTGAGCCA